TCGAAGGTTATATGGAGAGTATTTTGTATTTTTTTTGAGACATGTACAGATTTGGACTTGTTCTAATTTAGGTTGAGTTTATAATGTGGAAATCAGTTCATTTTTGTTTTGTTTCAAGTTCTTACAACTTATTTATTTAATCTCTCGACAAAAGCTCTTTTTAAAAAAAATGTTGTTTATGGTTTCTTTTTTTTTTTAGTTAAAAATATTATATAAAACTCAAAGCTTTTTTTTAGTTTATCTTAAGCTTGAGAAAGATGTTATTGTTTTAATCTATTTCTAGTTGGTTTCAAAGTTGTCAATTGCTAGACCTTTCTTGTTCGACATTCAAATGTTATACGTTTTAGATGTTGTGTATGAAAGAATGGTTCCGTTTTTAGTTTCACATGAAATCAGTTTATTAGTTAATTTTTCATTTGGTGTCTTTATATTAAAATTACAGTTCGTATATTGTTATGTAAAAGTATATCTAAAGGATATAGCTTCTATTTTGGCATAATTAGAAATTAAATGATAAATTTCAGCATATTATTATCTCACACTGCATATGATTTCCCTCATGTAGCTATATGTAAAACTTGAGTTTAAGCCTTCTTTTAACTCTCTGTTAGTGTATAATTTTTTATTTTTATTTTTTGTTTCGTTTCTTCTCTTATTTTTATTTTTAAAAATATTATGTGTTGGCTATGTATAAAGAAATCAATATCAAAAGAGCCATGGTTGTAGCTTTCATTGTTCACGTTATATGAGTAATAAGTTTTTTTTATTCTTTTATATTCTATTAGAGATATGCATGGAAGCCTGTTTGATATCATGAAGGCTATGAATTATTTCTTCCTAGTTGAATATGAAGAATTTGAGGTTTAGCTTATGTTCAATGTATATATTTTATGATTTAGCTATTTTTTAGTTGGTTCAGAAGTCTTCAATAGCTAAATATGTATTTTATTTGACGCTTGCATATCTTGTGTTTGTAATAATAATATATGCATTTTATAATTTTGCTTAGCTCTATATTTGATTTTCACTATCGTTTAAAGTTGAATCGTCTCACTAATCTCTTCTTTATTTTCTTTTTATTTACATGTACACTCGGGGGCGCATATGGAGTTGCAATATGACTCCACCTCTATCCAAATTAGAGAAGCGACCTATCTTGCATTTAGCTCGTGTCTAGAATGATTCACTCATTCCAAAAGAAAATCCCGCATTTCCTCCTTATCTCAAAGCTTTATATTTTTTATGCATACATATATGTTGTTATCTTTGACTAACATTTTACACTTTCTTTTGGCACCTATATTTATGTTTTCGTTTCAATTTATACTTGAACTTATGCAAACTAATTAACTAAGAACTTAAGCAAACCTAGTAGCTCACCTTCCCCTCCTCTAGATATTGGGTTTAATATATTAATTTGGCTTAGAACAATGACCTATAAATTAAGTTCTTTTGTTGCTCAACTCGCTTGTTAGTTTGAGAAAGTTTTGTTTTGCAAAGAAGTTGGACCCTTTTTTAATGAATATGTATGTTGCTGTACTTTTTCATAAACTAAGGTCTTAAACACAACTTTTCTAACACTTTCCACAAACCTTTGTTAAAATTAAGAATAAAAGTGTAAGTATTTGAACTCTAAAGTGATTTATTTTGAGAATTTAAAAAGGGCCGATTTGTATGTCTTTGTTTATATTTTTAAAATGTTAACTTTATAAAATGTTGATATGTCTAGAGTTTTAAAACACAACTCTTTTTGGGAATTTTGAGTAGGCGAATTTGAAGATAAAAGGCTTTCAATTGGATAAAAACTTTTATTTTTTATCAAGGCAAAATATGTTTTCATTATCTTTAGCTTTAAGATTTCCTTGTTAATTCAATTCGTAAAAAGATTTTCTCTCTTAAACAAAAAAAAAAAATCACTTGACTTGGCCAGCTATTTTGAAGATAACAAATTATGCATATTTCATTCAAACTCCTTTTTCTCGCTAAAAAATAAAGTTTAAACTAATGGTTGTTTCATTTCATTCTTTTAGATCTTTCTATATGAAGTTAGTATATTTTAAGGTTTTTATACTTTAATCTTTTTTAGGTTACTTTGCCATGATTTAATTAATACTAGTTTTTTCTTAGCTTTTAATGGTTATTTTATTTTTTCTCTAACTAACCTAAGTTTGGCCGGTTAATAGTTTTAACACTAATCTTAAAGGATGCCTTACCCCTTCCCTTTAGGATCAATTAGAACTCTTACTTAGAATCACATAAGTTAGTAGACCTTAATTGAAGTCAATTTTAGTATTACTTAGTTAATAATTTAGGTATCCTAATTTACCTTAAAATAATTAGGTGGCGACTTCTTAAGTTAATTAATTTGGAAATCACCAATACGTTGTACACGTTTTGACCTCGAGTTAAAATGGGGTATAACATCATGTAAAGTTTATTTTGACTATTTTTCTTCAAGAATTTCTCCTCCAATGAATTTCATAATTTATTTTCAGATGTTTCCTTTGTGTATGGATACTTTTGTTCTCTTGCAAGGTAAGATCGAATGGTACCACAAGAAACACAATTGATAATCTTCTTCTCCTACACTGTCTGATTTCTTTTCTTCTATGGCAATATCTAGCCCCTGTTGAAAAAGGACATCAAGGACCTCGCCTTGCCACATTTTGAAATGTCTTGACCCGTCAAAAATTTTAATTGCAAAATTCACATTTGACACAATTCTTGTCTTAAGCAAAGATGCCAATGATGACGTATTATTGACATTCGATGTGGACTCATTATTTTTCTTGTCTCCCATTTTTGCTACAAATACTATTTCCTAGCTAAAATTGCAAAGACCAAAGTAAATCTTTTCTGATGTAGAAGTTCAGACTGTGCTGCAACCACAAAGCATACTCAGATAATACCTTTGCTCTGATACCAATTGTTGCGGAAGCCGAATATACAGAGCATGATGAAATCACGACTACTATATTTAAAGGTAGCTAATAAATAGTAAATGAGACAACAATAAAAGGAACACCAGGAATTTGCGAGGTTTGGCAAAAAAATGGTTTCTTTTGCCTACTCCTCGGACGCAACCAACCAATATTTATTTCACTCCGAAAGAGTACAAGTGAAATAGTACAAGAGAGAAAAAAGAACAAATGACTTAGAAGATGAGAAGGCAAGTGAGAGGTGTGTTACAAATGAATTAGGAGCTACCTATTTATAGGAGTGAATTCTTCCTATTGATGTCATCCATGACATCACATTGTGTCAAAATGTCAAGGTTTAACTTGTGAAACCATTTTATGGTTTACCTAAATTTCACCTACAAATTACTATCTTGACTTTTGTACCAATATTAAAGAATTATCTCCCTATCAACTCTTCACATTAATTCATCTTTGAATCTTGTCAAATTTAACAATTACTACCTTCCTTCATAAACTGGCCTAGTAATTAGCCTCTATTAATACAAAATGAACAAGTAATTAAAGCAAATTATGTTGTTCATCTTTTTCCCTTTTAATTGCTCATGTTTCTAAAATTGCAACATTTTTATAAGGCTAACAATCCTTTTGGTGAAGCAGTTAACACGCACTAGAAAGATTATTGATTGAAGAATAAATGATAAGATATTATAAATCATTTTTCTTTACATTATTAATGTTCATTACAAGGTAATCTTATATGTAAAGATAATATAATGTTTCAGTTTTAACGACCGATAGTTTTTAAGTATTATTTTTATAAATTCTGTGATATTAAGTTCTCGCGCGAGGCACGGATAATTTTACTAGTTGTTGTATAATATTCTATTCCTAACTAATATAAGAATATACTATTTTTGAATTTAGTTTCATTTGATATAATTCAATCAAATTTAAAGAATAAGAGTAAGAACTAAGAAACATTGATCACCTACGAGTAAGAAACACTCTATTTTATTTTTATTATTAAATATTTTTCATTTGATCCATGAGTCGGTCCTATCCTTATTTCTCAAGTCTCACAAATCAGCAAACTTATTTAGATTGGGCTAAAAAGTCATTTTCTTAAAGAGGAATTTTCACAAATAGCCACTATAATAAACTTAATTATGTTCTATAGCTATAGTTTGCATATTTACGGGTTGTAGCTACATTTTAAGCTGCCTTGTTTGTATAATTCCTGGATTTGTATAATTCGCAGGTTTGTATAATTCGCGGGTACATTTGTATAATTAAGTTATTTTTGTATAAACTCGAAATAACGAATTTATACAATTACAAACATCAGAAATGTAAACAGTTATACAAATTATAATATACAAATTCTGAATTATACAAACGTTATACAAATTATATTATACAAATTCTGAATTATACAAACGTGCGAATTATATAAAACTAAAAAGTTGAGCCACGTAATTATAACTAAAAGTAGGTCGCAAATTGTAAATATAGCAAACTATAGCTATGTTAAGTAATTAACTAGTACATATTTGCTCATACGCGTAATTTTCCCTTTCTTAAATGAGCTCCAAAAATCTTAGTCCAACCCTATCAAATTACGGATTAGGCCGACCGACCCAACTGGTCTTGGCCCATATTGACGACTCTACAAATTATGGTATATTGTATGAAGCTAAAGAGAAAACCTTTTTATAGGAAAACAAACAAATTATTTTGCAAAAAAAACAAAGGACAAATAAATTTAAAGAAAACAATATAATCAAATTCGTTCAATTAAAAGTTGCTCCAAATAAAAAGGGATAGCATAAATAACTGGATCCCTAATTTAAGGGATATTCAGTAACGAATAAGAAATTATATAATATTTAAATTCTTAGTTTTAAGGATACTACTGTGAAAAAAAAAAAAAAAGGAAAAAAGAAATATATTTTCCCCTATTTTATTGAACCATTTATTTGGGTAACCAAAAGAATTTGCAAATAGAGACGACATGCCCTTTTTTTATAGTGCCGTATAACTTTTGCCGGAATTAGGGTTCTGATACTTCACCATACAACCATGGCGGATTTATTGCCGGAGTGTCTCATTCAAAAAATACTCTGTTTGATTAGTTTTAAAGAAGCAACCAAGATGAGCATTCTCTCGAAAACATGGCTACAAGCGTGGTCGACTCTTCCCAACTTGGAATTCTTTGTTAATTGTTGGCGAGGCTGGGAAGCGCATATAAATATAGTGGACACAACCATGGAGAGATATGTGAAGCGGAAAATTCCTATACAAAAGTTTGAATTATCAGAGATTTTTGCTGATTCTCCCCAACTCTTCCCTCTGATTGATAAGTGGCTTCTCATTGCACTTCAGAATGGTGTAAAACAACTTGTACTTCACTTTACAGCATACCCGGCGCCTATTTTAACAATCTTGACAGCAAAATCTTTAAGTGAATTGGTTCTGCACGGTTGTGCTCTTATGCCTGTTTCATTATCTAGTGGGGTTGTGAGTTGCAATTCTCTGAGAAAGATTTCTCTATCTTATGTAACATTAGATGAAAACATGCTTCAGACTCTACTTAATAGCTGTCCCTTTATTGTCTCTTTCATACTTGAGTATTGTTCGGGGTTGACTATGAAGCTTATAAAGATCAAGTCGGATTCCCTGAAGGTCTTGAAGATTCATCAATATTGCGGGATATGGGAGATTGATGCTCCAGATTTGGTATCACTTGACTATACAGGGAATGAAATTCCTGAACTCAACATTGTAAGAGAGTCAAGCCAATTGGAGAACTCAAAAATCATTCTTCATTGCATCTCCAGATTAAATACGGCATGGTTTTGTAAGTTGAGGAAGTTTCTATCAAATTCATCCTCTTGGTCTGAAGTTAGCCTTTGTTTATTCAAATGCGATGAGATCAACATGACAGATTTGCAAATGGACCACATAGGTTCTAGTGGAGGGGTGGACGTTTTAAATCTCAATATGCTACTGATGGATGAAATTATAGAGTGCCCAACTTTTGTGGATGCTTTGCTATGGAGTTGTCATCCTGGGAGACTCAACTTAATCTCAATTGATATTGAAACAGTTACACGTTTCATTGATCGTTTAATGTATATGAAAAATTTGAGTCATTCTACTTCTCATGCAAGCACACCTTGGAATAGTCAATTAAAAGATGTAAAAGCTTTTGATGGGAACAACCAGTTGCTGCAACTCGGAAGTGAGGAGCTTGCAAAAAGGATTATGGAAACTTATTTTATATTAGATTGGTGATGCAGTTAATTCATTTGTCAGGATGTATTTTGTTTGTTTTCCACATCTAGCTTTAAATTCTTTCACTTCCGTACACATGACATGAGTCTTTCTTTTTCTTTAAAATTTTAAAAGTTGCATAAGCATGAAATTGACAACCTAATAAGTTGTTATTTTTGCGAGTAGAGTGTGGTGAAGAATGTTGTAAATTTGTCGGAATACAATTCAATGTTGTTACAGTAGTACAGAGCTCGAGCATGGTATATTTCTCTGTTTTCCTTCTTTTAAGATGCTCATAGGGACTTTGAGGGCGTTTTCATTTCTTTATTATATATAACAACACAACTTATTAGAGTATATATACCAGTTTTTGTATCAGAAAGAGGTACTTTGTACTTACCTTTCAATATCATAGGGTGTCTTAGAAAAAGCAATCCCCTTCCCTACACGTGTATTAACTTCATACTTGCCGCTGCTGGAGTATACGTAGGTAATGCTAATTAATACTAGGTTTCTTAAAGTTCGGCATTCTGATATTCCTTTCAAAATATCATTCTTAATAGATCCATTACAGTCTACAGATGATAAAGTTGCAGGACTTGGTATCCCCACATGTTATAGTTGTAATTATAGTCCTAATAATGCGTCTTGCCTAGAGTGTGTAGACATGTGGTGGAGATTCGATGGGGAGAATTATCATGGCTTTCACATTAAAACTGGAGAGGGATCAAGCAACTGGGCTTTTACACTGAAGTTTGTATAGACACACTCTTTGCTAGTGCTCCTTAACCACCAAATATAAGTTTGGTATGCAAAAACTTCAAATCGTGTACTATTCCCTCATTAATGAAATGCCAGTTTGTTTGAAAAGAAAATGTCATGTGAAAAGTAAAAATTAAAGAGTTAACGAAAAGAAGGAAATAAGCATTCTTTTTAAACGAACAAAAAAGAAAATGAGACGAACAAATTGAAAAGGTGAAGAGTAATAAAGCAGAGAGTGTCCACAAAACTGTTTGCGTACACTGTAATATAAGGACATCCATTTAAACTTGTCTGACACATATTTAATCAAAATTTGTACATCACAATGAAATATATAAACTAGAAAACCCATGCTTCTTCATTGCGTTCAATCAGTCTACAGGTGTTGAATTAGTTGTTCCTAACATAGCTTTCATTCTCTCGAATGAAGTCGTACTGATTCAAATTGTTCACCAAGACTGTGAGATACACATGTACGATCTTTGTTTGTTGTTTCACTCTTAACAATCACATGTACTGTCCGTGGATAACAATCAATCCAACACATTATCGAGAATTTGAGCTACATCATTAAGACCCTGACATATTAGCTCGCTAATGTGAAAGACGACTATCTGTTTGAGCAAGAGAAGGTCATGGTTTCTATATAAAGCGAAATTAAAACTTAGTAAGAATTGAGTGGGTTGAAATATGATTCGTTTTTTAGTTCATTTCAGCCCAATCCATTTTGGCCTAAGTAGCTCTTGGGCGAGTCACTGAGTCGGCTCATTTGGACCCGACTAGTTTCATCATCCAAACCATCCATTTGAGACTCCTATTCACATGTGATGTGATACTGGGAAGTGATTCGTTGCTTCTTCATCAATTTTATATTGTAAAATTGTTCATGTAATTAACTTGGCCGTACTGCTTTTCCTAGCTTAACGTTTTCTTGTATATAGGGATGTGTTATGTTCACACGATTTTTTTTTAAAGATGCAGTTTAGATTATGAGTATAACATAGGGATGTTTTTTGGCCAAAATCATGGAGACGTACATATGTATGAAGGCAGACACATAAATTATCCTTGAATATAACATTGTATTATAATTTTAAGTACAATTACTCCAATGATGAATCAAGTTTATGAAGATTATAAGTGGCTGAGTGCACCACAACCTTTAAAGTGAAACATGATATGGAATAAAAGGAAGTATGGGAATTATGAATAGGAGTTAAAGTAAGATATACTATCCAGTCTTGATGTTGATTTTCCTTTATCTTTCATTATGTTACATTTTTGTTCATTGTTTTCATCATGGCTTCTTCAACTAACTTGGACCTTTTTTCAGAATTCGTAGGTGCTATGGTTATGCATCACCAAGTAAGAGATGAATAGCCATTTCATGGGAAACTCTTATTTCATTTTGGTATCAACCAGCAAGCAGGTAGTATGAAGTTAATGCACATGTAGGGAGGGGGATTGTTTTTCTATGGTATTGAAAGGAAAGTACTAAGTACCTCTTTCTGATTTAGGATAATTGAGAAATGAAAAATCCCTCAAACTCAGAAGAAGGAAAACAGAGAAACATATTTTCGGAACTGCAAGAATTTAAAGCAAATGAAGTAATAAACTTTAGAATTCAATTCGAAATAGAGACAACTTAACTCCATCACCAATCTAATATAAAATAAGGTTTCTTCCCCTCCGTAATCTTTTTTGCAAGCTCCTCACTTCCTAGTTGCAGCAACTGATTTTTTCCATCAAAAGCTTTTATTTCTTTTAATTGATTATTCCAACCATGAGAATATGTAGAATGACTCGAATTCTTCATATACATTAACCGATCAATTAAACGTGTAACTGTTTCAATATCAATTGAGATTAAGTTGAGTCTCCCAGGATGACAACTCCATAGCAAAGCATCCACAAAAGTTGGGCACTCTATAATTTCATCCATCAGTAGCATATTGAGATTTAAAACGTCCACCCCTCCAGTAGAACCTATGTGGTCCATTTGCAAATCTGTCATGTTGATCTCATCGCATTTTAATATACAAAGGCTAACTTCAGACCAAGAGGATGAATTTGATAGAAACTTCCTCAACTTACAAAACCATGCCGTATTTAAACTGAGGAGACAATGAAGAATGATTTTTGACTCTCTTGCAATGTTAAGTTCAGGAATTTCATACCCTTTATAGTCAAGGGATACCAAATTTGGAGCATCAATGTTACATATCTTGCAATATTGTATAATCTTCAAGACCTTCAGTGAAGCCGATTTGATCTTTAGAACATTCATTCCCGAACAATTCTCAACGATGAAAGAGACAATAAAGGGACAGCTATTAAGTAGAGTCTGAAGCATGTTTTCGTCTAATGTTAGATTAGATAGAGAAATCTTTCCTAATGAACTGCAATTCACAACTCCACTAGATAATGAAAGAGTACAATCGTGCAGAACCAATTCTCTTAAAGATTTGGCTGCCAAGATTGTTAAAATAGGCGCCGGGTATGATTTAAAGTGGAGTACAAGTTCTTTTACACCATTCTCAAGTGCAATCAGAAGCCACTTATCAACCATAGGGAAAAGTTGGAGAGAATCAGCAAAAATCTCTGATAATTCAAACTTTTCTATAGGAATTTTCCCCTTCCCATATCTCTCCATGATTGTGTCCACTATCTTTGTACGGATTTCCCAACAATATAAAAAGAATTTCAAGTTGGGAAGAGTCGACCACGCTTGCAGCCATGTTTTGGAGAGAATACTCATCTTGGATGCTTGATTATAACTAGGAAGAAAACTGAGTATTTTTTGAACTAGACATTCCGGCAATATGTCAGCCATGGTTGTATGATGAAGGATCACAACCCTAATATAATTTATAGGAATCCTATTTTTATATGTATCGATACTTAATGGTTGTCGCTAAATTTAAGTGTATTTGTTAATCTCCCCTAAATAAATGGTTAAATGTATACTTAAGAAGAGTAAAAATAGGAGGAAAATATATTTCTTTTTCCTTATTTCTCCATCCTATCCTTTAAACTAGGAATTTCAATATTAATTCCTTATTTCGTTACTGAATATCCTTATTTCACAGTCTCTTTTTATAAGCACTAGTTCTGGGCACTTGCTTTGTACGTCTGTTCCATGCTAAATTGTGTGGAGTTGTTATAACGATATATATATACTTGAACATGTATGTTGCCCACGTATCTCATGCTTAATTAGTACAAGGACTTTGAAAATATTATAATTAGTGTGTGATAAGTTGCACAAAAATTGAAGAGAAATATACAAGCTCAAACCAATAACTTCAATTATACAATTCCTATAATATATCAAGTATATAATTTGATAAAAGTTTCTTTTGTTTAGTATGTCATAACTCATAATTTAAATGTCAAATGTGATTTCAAAATCTTTCTTGTCTTAAGTTTTTCATCTTCTTTTTAAGAAATTGTAGTATCCACCTTTTCACATTTGCATACGTATTAAGAGTTGTTGTCGAATGAGAGTCGTGTTTTGCAAAAAAATAAAAAATTGAGTGTTTCTTAAATGGTTTAGAAAACCCTATACACAATATTACAAATATTTCTCTTGGTTATGTTTTTTTACAGAAAAGGATCATATTTGCCCTCTACCCTCTACCTCAGAAATAGGTTATATTTATCCTCGTCATAACTTTTTTGATATATTTATGGTTGGCATCCAATTTTAGGCATATATTGCAAGTCTCATGTCCCACTTTTCTTATCCTATGTGATGAGTACGTGGATATATTCTTAACACAATTTAAAATTTACTCTTTAATCAAACATTCTACCAGACCCACCCAACTAACAAGAACATATAGTACTAAAATACAAGAACAATCTTCACATTTATGTTTTACCATCTTTAGTCTTCCCATTCACAAGTCACAACTATGATAAAGGGATATGAGGTTAGAGGGGCAAATTGGACCCTTTTTCTATCTATTTAATTGGTGGGCAAGGTAAGGGACAATGGGAAAGGGATTACAAAGTGGAACCCTCTTGACCAACAAAGTGAAAGTTTAGGTAGTCAACTAATTAACTGAGCCACATGTTGACAATGACGATTACAGAATCAAGGTCCAAAGTAGTTACAGAGGAAAACGTCAAGAAGATGGAAAATCAACTATAGAATTACATGACAAATGAAGCAAAAATGGACGATTTAGGCCAGAAGCTTTTGCCTAGTGTTATGGAATTTTTCTAAAGTAAACCAACATTGGCTCACGTTTCTCACTATGATACGAAGACTGGTGTAATACAGGTCTTCTAAAGGGATGCTATTATACATAATTTTGAGCTGAAGTACCTACCTGATTACATGTATAAATATGAACATCCTGCCGAATGGTTTACAGACACAAACTTTTTCATGTCACGTACTTAGAAGAAATTAAAGAAAACAATGTACCTGTATGAAACAACATGCTGAGTGTGCTTATACTAAATGGTTGTGACTGAATTAGAGTATATCAGATATCGCTAGTCAATTGAAACAGAACAGTAAGTTGAAACGATCCAAAAAGGGGTTAATTTGGTTGTCAATTTCATACTTATCCAACTTTTACAATTATATGACAGGACGTGATTTTGAAGTACAAAAGAACACCCATAAACCAAGCCTTAGAGATGTACATTACTAAATTATCTAAGAACTTTGACAAGAAACAACAAATCTTGAACTGATGGGAAAACTAACTTGAAGTAATAGAACCTCATTAATTACCAATCAAATAAACTAGAACCTCTATCATGCCAATTCTCATTCTTCCAATCACATTTGTAGGCTTTTAATTGACTATACCAAGGGTAGCTTCCATGAGAAGTAGACTGAATCGAATTCTTTCAATGAATGACTTTTGAGTGCTCCAATTGTCTTGACTCTATTGCAATTTTAAGTTCAGGAATTTGATTTCCCATGTACTCAAATGACACCAAACTAGGAACATCAATCTCCCATATGCCCACACAAACCCAAATCTTCAAGACCTTTACGGAAACTGTTAGTGAAAAACTTACAAGATAACAAAAATACAAGATTACAATTGAAAATAAAAATGAAGAAATAAATCTCTTCAGGCTGAGGCACGGATATTTCGCTCTCTTTAAGGAGATTCAAGCCCACTGCAACAAATGTTTTTCACCGGTCCAGCAATAGTCCTTCTTGACTTGTCCCCTCCAGGATATAACAACCGTCACAAAGTATAACTCAACATCTCTGGACAAGAGTTGAGTCCAAAGCTCCACAAAAGAAACACCTCAGTTCAACTAATAAGAACTCCCTTTTTGACAAACCTTATGCACTCTATATTTTCTTGTGTGTTGTGTGTCACAAACCAAATGAAGACCACCACTATTTATACTACAATAAGTCTTCCTAGCAATGAATAGGAAGATAATGGGGTAGTAAATAGTGAAGATAATGGTCTTAGGAGTTACATAGGTTACAAAGAATAATGGGGAATAAAGTGTGAAATAAAGTGAGTGCATCCAATGCCACTAACGGGCAGAATGTAGAGTTGCACAATGGCACAATAATGTGCACCAAATGAAAATGTCAGAAACGACACAATCAATGCAATTAAGCCTCCTAATACATTGTTCCAAGGATAATGCAAAAGAGACTAACGTTCTGGAAATGGAATGTGCATCTTAACTATAATTGTTTAATATTAAAATTCTCCAAAACCAACAATCCCCCACTCATTATAATATTAGATAAGAGAGTCTATCAGCTAAAGGAAGACTACTATGCATAATGAAGGTGTGCTCTGCATTGAACCTCCACTTAGCGAAACGGTAACTTTTACTCCAGAGTCGTAGTGGTCTCAGACTTGAACTATGACTGCTTAAGGGAAATAAAATATCACTGCTCACACATAATAATCAAGGTGTTGACATGAGCTTTAAAGCCAGCACGTTATGGCCATGTGCTATCCCGGTTTCATGAGTGCTTTTGAGAATAAGCCCAATTCTCATAGGAAGCAACCTACTTCCACACATCACGTAGGTGAAATCTGTCGAGAGTGCTCCTATAAGCTTAACACTCCACCCATACGGGCTACAGATATTCATTAAGAGTTTTATCAACTCAACCTTCACAAACTACAGGAAACAATGCACTCACATCTGTCACGCCCCGAGCCTACACCCTGGGCGGGACCGGCACCTGGAGACCATTGCTGGCCCCAGGCGAACCCTTGGCCTGGCTTTCTTAACTCAGCGGAAACCTAACTCAACAGAATAACTCAACGTCATGCAAAGACATAAACAATTTAACTAATAAAATATGGCCCAAAGGGCAACTCGAGCCTCAAAAATAGAATATTTACATATATATATATATATATACATATACATGGATGAGAGACTCAAAACTAACTGACTGACTGACTGTCTAACTGTCTATTGAAGCCTCTAATATACTGAGATGGATGTGGGGACAGACCCCGCAACATCCTAATAGAACAAAACTAAGTACACAAAATAATTGAGTCCTCCGGAATGCAAGGAGGCTCACCACAGGCTCTGGAGTGCTCAGCTGGATCAACGACGTGCAGGATGCTGATCCGGGGTACCTGTATCTGCATCATAAGACGATGCAGGCCAACTGGCATCAGTACATGGAATGTACGAATATGTGAGCTGGAAAAGCTGAACCGCAACTTAAGCTTGAAAGGAGAACAAGAGATCACTTACCTTGACTCTGAACGACTCATATACATAACTGGACTCAAAGTAAAGCAATAAGACACGAGCCACACATATAAAGCTTGTAAAAGAATGTAAACAACTTAGATCGTTAAGGATAAAATGACAACAAACTCCACTTTTCTTTTATAAACATAATACAGCTTTTGTGGGAGGTTCTTTAACCGACAACCACCACTACGAGCCTTAGTGATGATACAACGTTTTACCTCACGTTGCCAAAGGACCATCATATACCTTGCCATCGATATAGGACCTTACTTTTGCTTAGTGGATCCACTAGCCTAATCTTACGTGATCATCTAAAAAGGATGATACGACAAGTCCCATGTTGGCGCATGGTTCTTATGGGGAGTTGAGTTAATATGAACTCGTGTCCCCAATTCGGTGCTCAATACTACTCCCAAAAATACTTTGGCTCATGCTTTTAAAATGACTTCTTTCTTTGATTGAGATAATTACTCAAAACTTTAGCCCAAAGGCTCCTTTGGGGAAAGAAAACATGATTCTCTTCTTATTCAAATATAATAGCATTTACAACCTCCTTTGGGATTACTTAGTTCCCTAATAGCTTTGAGAAAAGAACTCAACTTTAAACTCATGACTTAACTTGAAACTGAGACTCTTACTCGACTTGGAACTCTATACTCTTTTACTTGACTTCTGACTATCTTTCCTTGAATCGGAATTATGAATTTAAGGTATTCGATCACATGTTGAGGAGGGATCCTTGAACGCTTAGACGTACTTAGGAGTGTCGGAAACTACTATAAGACATAGGTATAATACTTTGGAACTTGCATGAGAAAGTGAGAAAAGAAACGGGGAAACTTGGCTGAGACTTCAGGTTTCTGGTGACACAGGTGGAACCTACGGACGCCATCGACGGACCGTAGATGGACTCACGGTCCGTACTGCAGGTCCGTGGATCGCGTCAGAGATTTTTCCCCAGAATTCATTTAAGAAAAATGACTAAGTGTTGACCTACGGTCCTGACTTACGGTTCGTAGGTCAGGTCACGGACCGTAAGTCGCGACCGTAGATCGATGCCCCAAAAACCAACTTCTGTTCCGATTGACGGTTGACCAGTACGGACCG